CAGTTATTACATACACAGGTAGTCACGGTCACACACACTACACAGCATGTACAGGTAGTCACAGACACACACACACAGGTAGTCACGGTCACACACACAGGTAGTCACGGTCACACACACACAGGTAGTCATGGTCACACACACACACACACAGGTAGTCCGCTGTGTACAGGTCTTACCTCCGGTGAAGTCCCTGATGGCGTCTGCCAGAGCGTCGATTGACTCAATGTCAAGGTTGTTGGTAGGTTCGTCCTGGGGGAACATAGACAGCCATCTATTACAGCACCAATAGCAACATCAACAACAAAGTAGGAATAAGTAAAAAAGTAGAAGTAACTAAAAAAGCCTGTAGAAGCAACTAAAGAAGCCTGTAGAAGTAACCCAAGAAGCCAGTACAAGTAACTAAAGAAGTAACCCAAGAAGCCAGTACAAGTAACTAAAGAAGTAACTAAAGAAGTAACCCAAGAAGCCAGTACAAGTAACTAAAGAAGTAACCCAAGAAGCCAGTGTTTTCCTTACCAGAATGAGCACATCGGGCGCCCGACAGGAGAGTTCGGCCAGCGCCACGCGCGCCCTCTGACCCCCGGAAAGGTCACGGTTGGCGATGGTGTGAGCGTGGGTGGCCAGGCCGTACTGACCTAGTTTCTTCCGCGCGTCCTGGTACTGCAGGTTGAACAGTCTCTGTGGGCGACACAGCAACATATGGCTCACAACACACCACTCAGAACACACCACTCAGAACACACCACTCAGAACACACCACTCAGAACACACCTCTCACAACACACCACTCAGAACACAACAATAATAATAATAATAATAATAATAAAGGCATTTACACAGCAATTCCTCATCCACATCCACTCCACACGTCACATCCACTATTCCACACGTCACATCCACTATTCCACTATTGCACATCCACTATCGTACATCCACACATCCACTATTGCACATCCACACATCCACTATTGCACATCCACACATCCACTACTGCATATCGACACATCCACTATTGCATATCGACACATCCACTATTGCACATCCACACATCCGCAGTGAACAGCACAGACTGCCCACACAGACTGCCCACACAGACTGCCCACTCAAAAGCTTCCTGGAAGTTTTCCTTTCCTCACAACCCACTACACTGGCAGCTGCTGTTCCGACCCACAGCCCTTAACCCGTGACCCCCGACCCCTGACCTGTGACCCCCGACCCTGACTCACCATCAGATACTCCGTGGGCGACTCCTCCAGGTTCAGTTGGTCAGCAGAGTGCTGGTCGTACTTGCCGATTCTCTGAAACAACAACAGCAACATCAGCAACAACAAAACCACCACAACTACCACCAACAACAGAGATGTGAGAGTGCTGGTCGTACTTGCCGATTCTCTGAAACAACAACATCAACAACAGCAACATCAGCAACAACAAAACCACCATAACTACCACCAACAACAGAGATGTGAGAGTGCTGGTCGTACTTGCCGATTCTCTGAAACAACAGCAACATCAGAACAACAACAACATCAACAACAACAAAACCACCACAACTACCACCAACAACAGAGATGTGAGAGTGATGGTCATATCTGCCGATTCTCTAAAACAACATCATTGTCAACAACAACAGGAGTGGATAGAGCACTGACACCACAACAAACACAACGACAACAACAACAACAACAACAACATCAACCACAACAACCACAACAACAGGAGAGGGCAGAGCACTGACACCACCACGACAACAAAAACAACCATAACAACAACAACAACCACAACAACAACAACAACAACAACACTGACACAGTGGGGCAGACACAGTGCGACTCCCAACCACTAAGTCTATGATAGCAAATCTCTACAGGAAC